CACACAGAGAACCTTCAAGGGGTCAGCAGACCTTCTAGTTTCTATCCTGGGGAAACCAAGTGGCTCCAATGGAGTAGTGGAGGCTTTAAGAAATAACCACTGGTCACAGTGATCAAGAGGTCGAGGCAGGGGGATGCAAGTTCCAAGGCCAACCTGGACAATTTGGCAAGACCCTGTCTTAAAATAAAAAATGGTAAAGGGCTGGRAGTGTAGCTCAGTGGTAAAGCACCCTGGATCCAGTCCCCAATACCAAAATAACTAAATAAATAAAAGAGAAAAGAAAAACAAGCACACAAACAGCCAATCAACCCATCTGGGAACATAGCTCATTAGTAAAACGCTTGCCTAGCATGTGTGAGGCCCAGGTCTGATTCCCAGAAGAAGAAAGAAAGAACATTCTGGAATTTTCCCAGTTAACCGAGGATAATGAGGTGAACAGTTCCAAGGCTCCCCAAACAACCCTTTCTCAGGAGGATAAGGATCAGAGTGAGGTTGGGATATATATTCTTCATCTCTGTGGTAGCCCTATGTCTAGCCTAGGGACTTATGGAGTCAGCACACAGCATGTACCAGCAACAAAAAAGGAATAAGGCCCAAGACAGTGAAAGAAAGTTCTCAGCCATATATCTACCAACAGTGGGAACCCTGGGGCCAAAAAGCAGGTCTACCTTGTGTCCYTGTTCCTTGCTAAGACACTTTCTCAGCCATAGCCAGACCTGAGCCAAGCATCCTGCCAGGAGCATACACTCCAAATAATAGAATAAGAAGGGAGATGGCAGCACATAGGCCTGATGGCCAGAGCATTGACCAGAACAATCATTCACATGGCCTGAAAGTCATCCCAGGGATAATCCACAAACTGCTGCCTCCCTTAGGGATAGATAGGGCTGGTTCCTCTATGGCTCACCCTGCAAAGATGCCTTATGGTCACTATTCTAGGAATTCCTGCCACATATAGTCAAAGTTGGGAAACAGGTAGGTGACTTAAACTGAATTCAAAACACAAACATCTTCAAATGGCCCACCTGAAAAAATTATACAAGAAGTCCAGCATAAGGTTCAGCTCCATATCAGCCCAAAAAAATCCTGTCCAACTTTCAAATCCCATTTTGTGGAAAACTTTCTAGATCCACTCACCTGTCCTCTAAGGACTATTTCTCTGTCTTGGAGGCCTTGTTGAGAAGTGGGGAACTAGATTCTAAAACAAGCAGCACCATAATTTCTAAAGTCCCTGTTGGCCAGGTGAGGTGGTACACACCTATCATTCCAGCTACTTGAGATTAAGGAAGAAGAATCACCAGTTTAAGGTCAACCTACAAAACTTAGTGAGACCCTGCCTCAAAAAATAAAAGGGCTTGGGGCTGGGGCTGGGGCTCAGTGGTAGAGCGCTCACCTAGCATGTGCGAGGTCCTGGGTTCGATCCTTAGCACCACATAAAAATAAATAAATAAATAAAATATTTTTAAAAATAAAAGGGCTGGATGTAGTTCAGTGGAAGAATATTTGCCTAGCATGTGTAAGGCCCTGAGTCCAATCCTTAGTACTGGGGAAAAAAAATTCTCTTCTGGCTCCTGTTCACCTTCCCAATACCTCAGGCAAGGGTCATCTGCTGAAACACCCAAAAAGCCTCCATGACCAGGTCTCTAGGGAGGAAGGGAGCCCCTGTATCTCTTATGCTGGAAAGATATCCTAATGGGCACTACTCTAGGTACAACTGCTTGGCACTTGAATCAAGCTGACCATGAGAGTTTCAATCAAATTGGCAGAAGCCACACACCCAGGGGACTGAAAGGCCACGGAAAATGCTGGGGAGATTCCTAGCCACTATGAAAACCCTTAGCAGACTCCTGGAAGACCAAAGAGCAGGTTGCAACTCAATAGTCACAGCAATTTAGAGTGGTGGCAGCCTCACTCAAATCTTTGTGAACCCACAATCCAGAGGTATACCTCCCTCGGCAGTTTCTGCCAGACATAGGAGAGGAAGGGGGATCCACCAAGTCTTTTCTCTTCAGTCCTCTGATCATTCAAAAGCCTCCTCTCCTACACATGATTAAGGGACCCTGCAGGTAGGTCTCTTCAACAAGGCCCTCAGCACATAATACCAACATGATCCTGTCTGTCACCCCCAACATGGAGACCTCCTTTCCCCAGCACCAGGCTAGGTAGTATTCATTTTTCGTCTTATGCCCAGAGGTGTACATACAGAGAAGGCCAAAGGCTGAAAAAATAAATAAAAAATAAAAAAGATCATTTAGAGAAAAGCAAAACCAAAAAACCCTCACAATCACTGCCAACAAAGAGGAAAAAAATTCACACCAGATACTAATGCCTCAGTAAGGAAATCCTGACATTTTGACATAATGTAACTTCCAGTTCTAAAATTTGAGAATTCTCTATCTCCCTTAAATCATTAATCCCATACCAACTCACCAATGGCAAAGACACCAGAATAAAGCAAGACCTGGCTCAGAGAGAAGTGTATTCCTGGTCATTAAGGGACCAAACTTGTTTTCAGTATTGGAGACTAAATCCAGGGCTACCATACTAGGCAAGCATGCTCGCCCTGAGCTATATTGATCCTTTTTTATTATTTGAGGCAGGGTCTTAGCTAATGTCAAACTTGTCATCCTTCTGCTTCAGCCTCCTAAATAGGGATTACAGATATGTATGACTGTGCCCAGCAAACAAATTTTGAGTTGAATGAAAGGCATCTTCACAACCTGCTCCTTGCTTATACAGACATATACCAACTGCCCCATGTCAGGCTCCACGTTCCAAGTTAGTCCTACATGAACAGAGGGCACAGATAAGATCCTGAAGAACCTCAGAGTTCTCAGATGAGAAGAGAATCTAGATGGCCTGCCAAGTTCCAGAAAGGTCAAGGACTTCTCATAGTCAGGACTAGCAAGACAAACTCCAGACAAAAGTTACAAAAGGGATTACAGTAGGAGGGAGGGACCTGAATTCCTCCTACTCCAGGGTAACCTTGAAGAATGAATAGTATCTTTTTGATCCTGCAGGTTCTGGGACTCTAGCTCAGTAGTAGAGTGCTTGCCTAGCAAGTGCAAGGCCCTGGGTTGGATCCTCAGAACCAAAACACAAAAACCAAAAAAAACACTAGCCCTGTAGTCAAACTACCCAAGACCTGGCAATATACAAACTAATCCATGACCATAAGCCCACCTCACCTGAAACCTGTGTACTAGAAAGCACCAATAAAATCCAGAGGCTCTTGAAATAACTATTTCTAGTTCTAAGAGAAGCTACCTCATTAACCCTACACATGTTCTGTGGGTAGTTCCTTTTCTTACTGCCCAATTCCATTGGTAAACCAGGTCTCTCCTGAGCCTACTGAATGGACCTGATTTCTAAAGGCCAAGATGTGGATTAGGAWAGTTAATTCCAGAGAAGGTAGTCCCTGGTGAGATCTAAGGAGCATTCTTTGCCTATTCTTCTGGACCAGAGAGAATCATTAGACAGAGCAATTCAACTAAAGGAAAACTTCTAAGTCAAGAACAGAATGACCAGAAAAATATCATCTGGGGAAATATTCAAGAGAAAGAAAAAGGACAGGGCCAGTGGTTGTCTGCATTATGGGCTTAATCCAGCCTTCCTAAGAGACCTAGCAGTTTGCTTGCTGCTGAGGCCTAAGTCTGCAGAGATGGAGCTGCTGTGGTCCCTTCAAAACCTGTGGCTCAAAAGCTRCAGAGGAATCAAGGCTTAACAAATTATTACTCCCAAGTCCCAGGATTTTTCTCTGAACTAATTTCTTAATTTATTTCGGTGGGGTCTCTGGTACCATTATTAAGGGCACTTTCCCAAGACCCAATTGGCTTCCTCCCTGTTCACAGGCAGCTCCAACTGTTGGGATGGGGAAGCCTGGCTTTCTGCAGCTTCCAGCTCTATTTCTGCCACTCAGGCTTCAAAAGGGCCCTGCAGAGTCTGAATCTGACACCTAMAGCTCAAATGCACCCCACCCTCAAGATCCCTTCCACCTTGGTGTCTTGTTTGGCACTAGGTTCAAGGAACTCAGGCCTGGATTCTACTTCCCCTTGCAATAAGCCGCACCTAGTCATCCCATTCTTAAGGAGTCATCCTCTTCTGCGGGGCAATTCTATGCTTAATCCAGGAGGTCCCGACGTCAAAACTGGACTGTGCCTAAAAGGTCTAACAAAACCTTAGGCTCACACTTCCAACTTCATCTTTTTGGCTTCTTTCCTCCCTTTCTCCACTAACACAGCCTGCCAACACACCCGTAGCTGGGACCTGGTAACTGAGCCGCACTACCACATCAGGTTCACATTTCCCCAAACTGGCTACAGGTAAAGTCCCACGTGGAACTCTCGCGCCCAATTCCCCGACCCTAGCCTCCATGCAGAAGCTAGCATGGGTTCCACCACAGGAGCGGTAGATTTCGTGCACTCCTAGCAGGCAGCCAGGCAGKGAGCGGAGCGTTCACTTACATCCTGGCATGACTATAATCTGGGACCCAGTAAGAGTCCCAAGCCCCGACTGCGGCAGGCGGGCACCCTTACCCATGCTGGCTCTGGAGTGAGCCGGGTGGCGCTGCCCATCCCCGGATCTTCGCAGGCGGGTGGCGGGACGCGGGGATGGTGTCTGCCCGCTAGCCTGCCCGGAGAGCTTTCGGGATTCGAGCAGGCCGGGCCAGGCCAGACGGGGCGGGGCCCGGAGCGCCCCATCCAGATGGTCCGAACTAGAGAAAAAGGCCTGGCCACAGCGCAGTCCGGCGCACGAGCCACCGCACTGTATAGCCCGGATAGGCGCCAGTCTGGCTCTCCGCGTTCCCCCAGGCCGCCGCTTCAGAGGACCGGCGGGAGGCGGAGCCGCGCGCCACACATGGCTCGGGCCCCGCGCGGCTTCGGGCCGTCGGGGGGGGAGGGGAGGGGCCTCCCGGAAACTCGCAGCAGAGGCTCCCGGCGGCCTAGAGCGCGGCTCTTGCGGCCCAGCCCCCGCCCCGGCACGCTGGCCCCAACACTCACCCGAGGGGCTGGCACGATGGCGGCAGCGGCGGCGGCAACCCAGCACGGTCTGCGACCGACTGTCCCTTCCCCCCTGCCTTCCCTCGCCCACCCCGTTGCACTCTGGGAAATGCAGTCCCGCCGCTCTCCTTTTTGGCATTAGCACATCAAGAGAAAACTACAGTTCCCGGTGTGCTATGCATGGAGGCCCAGACACGGCCCGCAGCGCGGGAGGAGAGGCTAAGTCAGGGAGGGAGGCTACCCGGGAGAGCCCCTGAGAATTGTGGTCCAGCGGAAGCCTCTGGAACACGAAGGTTGGCGCCAGGGTAGGGTCAGGGCTCTGTTGTCGCCCGGTCCCAGCGGGCCGGCCCCGCCCAGGCTGTGCGGCAATGGGTGGTTAGCCCCGCCTCTGTAGGAGGCCGGCCTGGCCCCGAGCTGGCCGGGGCGTCCCTCCCTGGGCCCCTGGGATGTTCGGCTCGCGAAACCCCGCTGCCTTTGGGCTCCGGCTGCCAATTCGAGCTGAGCCATGAGGACTTAAGCCAGCTCGGGCGGAACCCAATTTCTGCTGTCCCACCATTTGGGAGCTCTGCCCCGGGGCCAGTTGGGCCTAAAGCTGGTTTCCAGCAGACTAGACTTCTTGGGTGAATCTCAGATGCCCCTCAGGTGGGGCTTTCTGGAGTGATTACTCACATTTCTACAGCGGGATCTTCAAAACATTCTAAATTTTGTCTTTTCTTTCCAGCAGATAGCTATGAGTTTGATTTTTATTAAGAGAAATAACTAGCTCACCCAAAACTTTTCCCGATATTTAAAGGACTAGGAAATCAGTAAACCCTTCTCCCATCCTTTGCCCTTTACTTTCAACACCCTTTTCTTCGTTTCCCTGGTAACACAAACATCTGAAGGARAGCTTATCTGTAGGTCAGGTTCATGCTGGGCAAATGGCTCTGCAGCCAACCTAGGACACCACAAGAAAGGGAAATAGCTTTAAGCCTTCTCTCCTGGCCTAAGATCTCTCAGTACTCCTGTTTTGCACCTTTAGCCACCCACACTTGCCTCCTGGGATGACTGGTAAGATCAAGCTAAACTTGATTAAATCCCAGGAYTGTTCAGACCACTTTACCTATCTAAATGCTTCTACTACTCAGTCACTGAGAACTCTCTTCTATTACCTGCTAGTGGTACACCTGCACCTGGGGCTTTTCTTGCTCGGTGAACTGTCCTCCTCCTCCCCTGGAAATCAAAACAGGTTGTGTGCAAGACACTGGAAAGGGTCCAGGGAGTGCTGCTGAGAGGTTCAAGAGAAACAAAGTACATCAGCAGCATCCCTTGAAAGAACAGGAGCTCAAGGATACACTAAAGAGCAAGACCCAAGCCTGGGAAAGCCTCCACTCCAAGGAAGGAGAGTGGTGATATGTGAGAGACCAGTCTGATAAGGCTCAGATGGTCTGGAATTGCAGAGCTATGCTTCTACCATCTGATTACCAGCCAGCTAGTCCTTGAAAGGCAAAGATCCAATCCGGTACCCCAAGCGCGCCCCTATACAACCTATGATGTACCCTCCTTCCTCACAAAAGATTGTTTCCCACCTCAATGCCAAGGGACCAGAAGGGAAACAGATTAGTTTTCGGGCCATTCCAGGTCACAGCCACACAGGTGGCTCTGTTCAGAAGAGAAGGAAGTCATTTAATAGTGCCCCATCACTCATAGTAAACAAGATAGCTCCAAAGGCATTCACCTCTAGATTGGCTTTGAGCTAAATTACTTGGTGCTATAGATAAAAATGTTACTCTTTCAGCCCCCCCCCCCCCAGTAGCAGTCAAAAAATAAAGGCAGCCAAAAACATGAGTCAAGGGCTCACAAATTCCAACTCCTTAATGCCCTCTTTGGATAGCTCTTTCACACTGAAGGTGTACCAAGGCCAAGGTATCTGTACAAGAGTCCTGAGTATTGCAGGACCCATGGCTGCTTCCAGCTGTGGTCTTCGTGGCTTAAGTAATTGCATGCATATGTGTACCCAACACTGTGCTAGGCCTTTGGAAGGAAATGATGAGCAAACTTCAATACCAGCTGAAAATTTAAGAGAATTTAAAACTCTGAGAGATAGGAGGATCTGAACAGTTCCTCTTAGACTTCATCTTAGTCTCAGTTTCACCTTCTTGTTAAAAGGACATAAGGAGAAAACCAATGGGACTTTCGGTGCAGTTTCCAAATTCTTTGGGGTGAGCTGGGCCAGGAACTCTACAAGGACCTTGAGGCCARGGTCCATGTGCTTAAGGTCACTTTATAGAGAAACCTGAAGAATATCTATTCTCAGGGGCATCCTGGTCTTTCAAATAGGCCTATTTCCCCAAATTTCAAGAACACTTAGCTGAATTTTTATAAAAATAAAATGGCGAAACAAAAATAAAAACCTTACTTTTTGTTTAATTTGTTTTGCCAAACAAACACAGTGAAAACTTTAGTCTGACTAATTGTACAGAAAATAGAATTTGTAACCAGTAGCAAACATAACAGGATAAACCTAAGTCCCTGGCAAGCTGGATCTCCATCAGCAGGTCACCCAGATCCCCCATAAATGACCTCATAGATGGGGAGGTTCTAGGAGACAGAGGCACAGATCAACTAGTCCCCATTAGAATCACAGGCTGCACCTGAAAAGGTTAACCATGAAAAGGAGAACTGATGTTATTTGGATCTTTATCACTACCCACAGTAGAGTCTTCTCTGTTTGCTGGCAAACCTTAAGGTGTGGTTTTCCTAAACCCATAGTTTCTGGGCATCCCACCTGCATCCCTCCAGGGTAAGTTTCAAGTTCAGTGATTCTGAAGCCTCTGCCTAACCGGAATTTGCAACATAAAGTGGGGAGAAAGGGTACACAAAGTCATAATTGCTGGTGTCACCAATTAAGTCAGAAGCCCCAAGTGAAGGTGCCAGATCACCAGCAAGAATCCAGCTGCCCTAAGCCTCAGTACTGTCAACCACACTACGGGGGAGTTCCAACATCAGCCTGAGGATTCCTAGGGCTGCAAGGTCCAGGAGTTCTGCAGGCCGCAGCAGAATCCATTCACATTCCGTGCTTCTTACGGATGACAGCCATGGCAAGCAGACGATCCTTCTCACGAAGTTCTTCGCGCAGCTTGGCCTCGGTGAGACGCAAGTGGCGGATGCTRCCCTTCATCTCTTTCATCTTCACTTCCATCAGCGCCAGGATGTCCCGCTGCTCGTTCAGTTTGCGCAGGAGCTCCTCCTCCGTGGTGCCAGACGACAACGAGTACGAATGGTCGGAGCCAGTATCTGGAAAGCCCTCTTCCCCTACTACCACCAACTGGGGGCCCATAGGGCACTCCGCGGCCTCCAGACCCGCTGTAGCAGCCTCTAGCTCTGACGCGGCAGCTGCGGCGGCTGCGCCCTCTGCGGCTGCGAACTCCACTTGCACTGTAAGGTCGATGGGCTTCACATCTTCTCCAGTGGGAGTGGTGGGCGCAGGCGGCACGGATCCCGGAGCTTGGCTGCTGTCTACAGCGGCCTGAAGGGTGAGGAGCACGGCCGCGGAGGCAGACACCAGGTTTGGCTGCAACTGGGCGGTCTGGCCAGTGGAGGCGGATGGCGAGGGTTGTTGTTGCTGTTGATGCTGCTGTTGCTGCTGCTGCTGTTGTTGCTGCCTGCGGCGGGCGGCCGCGGCCCCCGCGGGTCTGCGCGCTACTTTGCGCTCATTGACGCCGCGCAGTGGGAAGATGGTGGGAACGCGCACCGTATAGGTCTTGCGGCCGCCCTGGAAGTGAACGCTGCAAAGACGGTGGCCCGTGGTGGGCTGGAAGGTGGAGAAGCACCCACTGACGCCCGCACGGGACACGTTCTTGAGCCAGAGGCGCCGCAGTTCAGCGTCCTTGGGAAACGTGTAGAAGTGCAGCGCCTTGTCCCGGTGAGAGTTGTTGTAGCAGCCCGGTACGCAGCACGTAAAGCCAGGCATGGCTGCGACGCGCGGCTCGGCCCGGCCCACCGGCCTCTTGAGCTCTTCGACGGCCCGGTCCGTCCGCCGCCGCCAGCCCCTCGACGGGCGGCGCCGCACGAGGCCTTAGGTAGCCTCCCACTATTGCCGCCGGGCGCAGGCGGCCCGGCCCGGCGCCCCGTGCCCAGAATACGCTTCCCGCCGGCCCGCGCCGCGCCACCCGCCCGGCCGTCCGCCTGCGTTCAGGAGTCGGCCCGGGGGACGCCGCGAAGGACCGCCTGGAAAGGAGGACTACGCCCCCCACAATGCACCGCGCTAAAAGCCGCTCACTTCCGGGCGGGGGCGTGCTTAATTCCGGCTGCTTTCCAGGGCACCGCAGCAGTCTCCCAAAAAAAATTCTTTTCCAGACCCGGATCATCCTTGGCGGGCGAAAGAAGTTTGTTCTGGTGGAATGCTGTCATATAGACTGCTGCTTACAAGGACCCGGAATCCTGATGGGGTTGGGGATAAGGAGGCGTGCTTCAGCAGTACGCAAGCGCTATGGGTATGCCCGCGGAGACTACGAGTCCCATGATGCTTCGCGCGAACTCTGCGAGTGTGGCTCCGAGCGCCGCCTAAGGATAAGGTCCGGTTACTGCGGGTTAGGATTCGGGCAAGATTGTGCTACCTGCCAGAAGCTGCCCCCAAATCCTGAGTGTCTTTGAGTGGACAGCGTTCTTGCGAGAGAAGGAAACCTGGGCCTCGGTGCCCCGAAGGAGCTCAGAAACCACTTTCTCTGCCTTGGAGACTTCTGACTCAGCCTGATTCGACTCACATAATTTAAATCACTACTAGGCAACTATTTGCAGTACATAGGGCAGGGGGCTGCAAGGAGCCAGAATGACCAGGCCCCTTCCTCTTGGAGCCAGAAACCCTAGAAGGATTAGGATCTGTCTTTTCAATAATAGATGTGAATGTTGCAAATAGATGGCTAGTCAGAAGTAAACGTACAAATGAACGAATAGGGCAGAGGAAAAAAATGGAAGTGGTGGTGATCAGGAACCTAGAAAGTTAGAACCTTTAAGTCCTTTTTTTTTTTTTAAAACACCCATACTGATTTTTAGTTGTAGTTGGACCCAATACCTTTATTTTATTTATTTTTTTAATGTGGTGCTGAGAATCAAACCCAGGGCCTCACACATGCAAGTCAAGTGTGCTACCGCTGAGCCACAGTCCCAACCCCAGAACCTTTAAGTCCTTGATTGGAAGTTGTAGCCTTTTCTTGGCCCTAAAAGGGCATGGGAGGAGACAGCCAGGGTAGCAAAAGCGCTGAAAGATAACAA